GTCATCAAAATAAATTTTGTGTTACTGCTTTCGATCAATCAGGATTGAACAATCAAGCAACACAAAACAGGAAAATTTCACTCAGACTAAAATATCCACGAATCATTCAAGATGATAATACTCAAAACCTCTTCAGAACTCACAAGTGAGACGTTTTGAAGACGGTGTGAAATAATTCACCGCGAAAATTTTAAGTTGCCTTTAAAATTTGCCAGAACAATTTATTTTTTAAATCAAGGGTGAGTTGAAATCAAGGTTTATTTTAAGGTTGATTTCACGAGTAGCCTTAAAAATCAGGGTTGATTTCAAAATGCGCCAGAAACCCCATTTTATAATAACTCAGCGCCTGATCAACAAAGTCGTCACAGATCTTGAGGATTATGAGGCGCATAAGGATGATGTGATTATCTACGATGACACATGAGACAAACACTTAAGGACTATCCGTGAATTCTTCAAGAAGTTGAGCAGACCTACGCTGACCATCAATCTTTCCAAAATTGTGTTTGGCTAAGCGCAAGTCACATTTGAGGCATGTAGTTGAACATGGTCAAGTAAAACTGGGTAATGCGAAGGTTAAAGCTATAGTAAACTTGCCACTTCCGCTGAACAAGAAACAGCTCATGCGTTTTCTTCGTATGGCTAGTTATTACAGACGGTTTTGTTCTAATTTCGCCACTGTTATAGAACCATTGACACAGTTACTCAGTAAGAAAGAAAAATTTATTTGAAGTGGCCGCTGTGAAAAGGCGTTCGAGGAATTGAAAGCCATGTTACAGAGTGCTCCTCTATGAAGAGGATAATGAAGGTTAGTAATGAATACTGACTTTTTTAACCAAATAACCCAATTGACGTAGATGTGGATTTTGCCCAGCTAAAACATATCAGCTAGTTTTGGCCATTTTAATGAGTTGAAACAATTCAGCTAGTTTGTGCATTTTGTGTAGGTTACCAGCACTTTATTTGATCATTTCAACCAGTTGAGGTAATTCAGTAATTTATTGACGCTATCAAAGACGTACAGATACCTGACGACTACAAACTTGTGTCT